AATGAAATAATTTTTTTTTGAAGATATTATAAATTTTAAAAAAATAATCAATATTAGTATCAAATTAATTATATTTTAGATTTTTTACATTTAAAATGATGTTTATCATGTATTTAATTATGTTTATCTATAGTTAGTTACAGAAACTTAAACATGGAGCTTTAATATGTATTCATGCACTATATACTTGTAATCTTGAACTTTAAGTAATATGCATCAATAAATAGTACTTTATGCATGAAAATTTGTTTTTAAAAGTTTTTGTCAAATGCTTTATAATATAATACAGATTAGTGTAAAATACATGTAATTTATTTTTATTGTTTTACATATATTTTGATGGTTAAGTTTAAGCATTTCTATGGGCCTATTTATTTTTTAAATTTTGTCTTTTAATATCTCTGGAGTCTGATTCGTTTAGATATAAAGAGCATATTTTTTTTTATAAGAGCTTAAAAGCTCTAAATTTCCTCTGATTTTTAAGTGGTGAATGTATCCCTTAATTTTGCTTGATCCTAATCTGTCATCTATTAAATGGTTCTTATTTTGGGAGATGGAAGAGATTTGTTAACAAAAACTATTTATCTCTTATACTTTTATAATAAAAAACCATTTATCTTTTATATATTTGCACTAGTTTAACCGATTCAAATTTTAGACTTCAGATGTAAAAACAAACAACCTTACGCATCCATATTTCAAATTTCAACACCATCTCTTATAAATCATAAGTGAAATCAGACTTCATAATTCAGTAACTCTTAAAAACAAACGACCTAATAGTTATGTTAAAAAAATAAGATTTTAGATATTATTTTTACTCCAACAGGTATGCTAATATAGATAAAATAAGAGAAAAAAAGTGGAAATCTCAAAAACCCAGTATTTAAAATATTTAATAAAATTTAATCCTCTACACTAATAAAATGCATTTGAAATTAATGTTAGAATCACTAACGTAGAGTAGATGTAAGAGTATCTTATCATCTCCAACAATTATTAAGTTGTTTGTTTACCTCTTAATAGTTTCATTAGAAGACAACCTATGAATCGTTAAAAGGTGAATCTTGTTTGACAAAAAAAATGTTTGTCTTTTAATGGTTCTAAAACCCTCTGAATGATTTTGTATCATGGGCATCTCTTAACCATTCAACGCCCTAATTTCGTTGTAAATAGTAACCAAATAATTATATTTCATTTACACTATATCATGAGAGTCTCTTAATCATTCTGACCACTTAATCATTTTGCACCAAGTCATTCAACAACTGTCAAACAGCCCCAATGCTAAAATAAATATTGTGGCAATTCTACTAAGATCTCTTTTTTAGTTGGAGGAAGAATCAGTCCGAATTTATATTTTCTTTTTGCTTCAACAACTGTGTTAAAATATGTGTTAAAATACATAAAATAAGGAGAGTATGTGGAAACTTGAAATTCTGATAAATCTTTAAAACTCTATATATTATAGAAATTTTAATTATTTATCATCAATAAGAAATATTGAAATTAAATGTTTAGCAGAGAAAAATAATATTTTATAAAAATATATTAAATATTTTAATAATACAACTATTGCTAAAATACAGTAGATGTTGGAGTTAAATATAATTTTTTTTAATATTTTAACTTTTGATAATCAATTTTAGAAAATCTATAACACCAGAGATGGTGATCTGTCCCGACCCGAACGGGGCCGGGGATTCTCCGCTAAAACGGGTCCCGGGCCCGGGGATCCCCGGTAGACTCAAACCGGGGACGGGGGATGTTAATCAAACCGGGGACGGGAACGGAGATTCCCAGTAGAATCAAACTAAATGATATTATTTATGGGGTTTGACCCGAGTTTCATCGGGTTTTGACCGGTGATTACTAGAGGTTTGACCGGGGACCGGGACCGGGGGATGCTACTACAAACCGGGGCCGGGGATTACAAAACCCGCCCCATCCCCGCCCCGTTGCCATGCCTATATTATAACACATATGTAATATGTTGGAGATAATCTAATCTTTTAAGAGATTTTGGCTTATAATATTTTATTTCAAAAAATTATAACATATTTGTTAAATATACTCTAACTGATAAATTTTTTAGTTACTGATGATGTGAATATGGAGTTGTCGGTTAAGAGCATTTTCAACAGATTATTCAAAATGAAAGTATTGGAGTTTTGTTTTAATAGCTTTTTCAAAACTATCTTTAAAATGGAAAAAGTATGAGAGATAAATGTTTTTTTCTCCAAATGAAATAACCCCCAAAATGATTATCAAGTGAAAACATCAATGATAAACTTTGAAAATAAATATTTAAAAAAATAATATTATAATATCATAATAAATTAGAGATAAATGATTTTTTTTAAATAAAGTTATCGTTTTATATAATATTTATTTAAAATTTACCAGAATATTTAATCTATTGAATATTTTAATAATATAATTAATGTTATAATTTTTAAAATAAAAATATGTTTCAGTTGGATGTAATTTTTTTTATAATATTGTTTACTGATTCTTCATTGTAAAAAATCTACTGATGATGCTCTTATATTATAATTAGTGGTCAGATGAATTTTTCGTACCAAAACAAACCAATCCCACGTAAACATAAATATATATAGCGGTTAATATTTAGTATCAGTATGCAATAAGAATAATTAAACGTATATTTTAATTGTATAATTTTTATATTTTAAATTATATACCGCTCAATTTCTTGAGCATATTACATGTTTTTAAACTGTAAACTAAATTCACACGTAACTGTTAATTTTTCTTTTCACATATATTGACATCAATACTTGCTTTTTAAACATGTTTTATCAGCCCCTTATGTTTGATCTGTTAAGAGGCAAAATCATTTAGACTGTTTGTTTTTCTAATTTTTTGGAGATATTTATGTCTTATTTTTCTTTTATCTGATTAGAGGTAAACCAACCTTTTATTTTGTCTTTTATTGTTCTTCAAATCCTCAACAATAACGTTTCTCAATCGATTAACTTTAGTCGATCATTTCTCTTGATTGATCTTTATCAAATCAATCCTCACATCTTCTTAATTAACGTATTTTAATAGGATGTAAATGTGTTAAACACTATTAACGACATATTTTTGTTTAAATGAATGTTAATTATATAATTTAGATGTAAATTTCATAATGATGATGAATAAATATGTGAAATTGTATAAATTTATCTATAAATTCAACACTATAATTTTTAATGGGTAAAATAGACAATTTAAACAAATTCAGGCGTTTATTAGTTTACAAAAAACAAACAGTGTTGTTGATTCAGATTTCAGACTTCAACACTATCTCTTATCTATATTATATTATAAAGTATTTGACAAAAACTCTTTAAACCATTTTTATACATGAAGTACTGTATATTGATGCATTTTACTTAAAATTTAAGATTACAAGTAAATTATACATAAGTACAACTTATTAAAGCTCCATATTTGAATTCGTGTAACTAACTACGGATAAACATAATCAAATAGAGGATAAACATCTCATTTTAAAATATAAAAAATCTAAAATATAATTAGAATAATTATCGAGTTCTAACAAAATAATTAATTATTATATTTATAAGAAAATTATATTATTAAAACAAATATAAATTATTTCGTTATTGAACCTAAATTAAATTATAAAAAAATTGAATTAAAAAATTACAAAAAATAAGAATTTGAAATAGTTAATTTGATACTA